TAAACCCCTAAACCCTAAAATCCTCAACGCCTCATCTCCGAGCCTTCTCCGAAGCTGCAGGACTCCTCCACGGAATCGGATACCAGCAGCAGCAGGATCGTGGAACCGCTGGCCCTTTAAAATCCTACACCTCCTGTGCCTAAGGCCCTCAGGCCTAGACCGCACGGAACCTAGAACCCTTAAGCCCTAAACCCAAAACCCTAAACCCTAAACCCTAAACCCTAAACCCTCAACCCTTCAGCCCTAAACTCCAGACCCTAGAGGTGCTAGTCCAAGTGCCAGAGCGTCCTCATTGCACTACCCGCTACCCCAAGGCCCACGGTATGGTCTCAGATGGAGACGGGGTTTGGGTTGGCGAGTTATGCTCCGACGTTGAAGCTCGCGGTAAACCTGCAACCCCGAAGCCCCAATGAATAACCCAATCTCTCAGCCCAAAGCCTTAAGCCCTGAACTTGGATCCCAAACCCTAAACTCTAAACCCTAAACCCTAAACCCTAAACCCTAAACCCTAAACCCTAAACCCTAAACCCTAAACCCTAAACCCTAAAGACTATGTAGGCCATGGTTCCTCCATTTCGGGGACCCCGCAGTGCATGGGCCTGCAATCCAAGCCCCCTCTTTCCTCGAACGCTTGAAGCATGACGCTTTGGAGCAATTGTGCTCTTAACCAAGTAGGAAAGAAAGCATCTTCAAACCCATACCCAAGCCTTGAACCCTAAACCTCCAAACCCTAAAGCCCTAAACCTTAAACCCAACATGACGTAGGTCATCGCACTTAAAAGCCTTAAACCCTGAACCCTAAACCCTAAACCCCAAACCCTGAACCCAAAGGGTTGAGGTTGCTGTCGTGCTTTGGGGGCTGGCAGGACATCTCCAGAAAGCTTGGGAATCCTGCAAGAGGCCGGACAGCGAACGGTTTAGGGGTTTAGGGTTCAGGTTTTCGGGTTTAGGGTTTAGAGTTCAGGGTTTAGGGTTTAGGGTTGAGGTTTTAGGGTTTAGGGTTTAGGGTTCAGGTTTTAGGGTTTGGGGTTTAGGGTTCATGTTTTGGGGTTTTGGCGCGTTTCAGCTTCAAGCATTGCTACTGACGGCTCCTGCTTCCGCTAACAACCACCGCGACGACGACGGCGACGACTGCTGCTGCTGAGACAAGTGCTATTATCACTACTACTACTACTACTACTACTACTACGACGACGACTACTACTACTACTACTACTATTCCGAGTACGTACAAGTAGTGCTAGTAGTTCTTGTAATACTAGTCATACTAGTAGTACTAGTAGTACCTGTAGCACCAGCACCAGTAGTACGAGTAGCACTCGTAGTACGAGTGGTACGAGTACTAACTAGTAGTAGTAGTAGTAGTAGTAGTAGTAGTAGTAGTAGTAGTAGTACTAAGTATGACCGTGACAACAATAACGTCGAGATTAAAGAGATCCGTCTGCAGCGACGACGACGATCATAGTCAAACGCATGGTCCGTTCTAGTAGGATTGAGTCGGACAGCCTTGACATGATATCAACGGCGAGCCGTGGGGTAGCACAAGGAGTTTTATCTACCGTCCTGTGCCAACCTTGCCACAGAAAGCCGACACCCTTGAACCGCGCGCTTTAAGCTCACAATCTGGGAGCTCAGAAAGCGTCCCAACACCCTAAACCCTAAACCCTAAACCCTAAACCCTAAACCCCTAAACCCTAAACCCTAAACCCTAAACCCCAGTCCTTTGACTGGTAGGCCTTTGACCCCCCACAGACTAAGCCTCCATAGTCCGACACCTCTCCCAACCCCTGTCATAAATCCTGAGCCCAAGCGACTCACCTTTTGAAGGAACTATATATAGGAACCAAAATATGTAGGAACCATAATATATACTGGGAACCATAATATATAGGAACCATAATATATACTGTAGGAACTATAATATATAGGAACCATAATATATACTGTAGGAACCATAATATATACTGTAGGAACCATAATATATAGGAGCCATAATAAGGAGCGTCAAAAAGGTGGTATTTGGCTACAGTTAAGCCCTCAACCCTGAACCCTGAAACCCTAAACCCGAAACCCTAAACCCCCAAACCCTCAGCCCTGAAACCCTAAACGCTGAAACCCTCAACCCTAAACCCTAAACCCTGAAACCCGAAACCCTAAACGCTGAAACCTCACATCCCTGTCCCTCACGCAGCAGGAAAAGGGCTGGAACCAGGGACCTCAATGGCAGCTTGTGAAGCAAGAGGCCCGCCAAAAAGGGTTTCGGGTTTTAGGGGTTTCGGGTTTAGGGCTGTGGGTTTAGGGTTTTGGGGTTTACAGGGTGTTCAGGTGTTTAGGGTTTGGGGTTTTCAGGGGTTTAGGGTTTAGGGTTTGAAGGGTTTTTGGGGATCTTGGGATTCTGGTTTAAGGCTTAAGAGCTGCGGCGCGGGCTGCAGAGTTCAGACGTCAGGGCTGAGTGAGGGAGCTGCATGCTTGGGAGCTTAGGATATGGGTTTTGGGTCGAGGTTCGACTCGAATCATGGAAACCCTAAACCCTAAACCCTAAACCCTGCCTTTATGCCAAACCCACAGGCCCAAAAACCCGAAGCAGTACACCAATCCAAACAGGAAGAAGTGAAGCCGCAGTGGGCCAGGCTTTGATTTAGGGCTCCAGGCTCGGGGTTGGGGACTGGGGTGGTGGAGTTCAGGGTTTCGTGTTTCAGGGCTTGCAGGTTGATCCCTTTGTCCCGACTTACTTCGAGACATCCTGCCGCCTGAAGGAAACCGCTGCAGTTAAACCGCCGCTGAAAGCGATTCGCATGCAGCCGCCACCTTCTCAACCCGGCGAACAGGGTTCGGGGTTTAGGGTTTAGGGTATAGTCTCCGGTTTGGGGTTTAGGTTTAGACTTCAGGGTTTAGTAGGGTATAGCCTTCAGACTGCAGGAGCGCGACCTCGGGCAGCGAGCGCAGCTGCCGGCTGTCAAGGAGGAGGTCAGCTGCTGCGCCTGATGACAGGGCCTCTTGTTCGGGAGCTTGGGATGTGGGCTAAACAACACCAGGCTCAGACCCTAGACTCTAGACCCTAGACCCTATAGTCCCTAGACCCTAAACCCTAATCCACCTTGAGTTCGGCGTGATAACGCAGTTCGTACCTCCCACAGTTTCCAAATCCGGGAATGCCGCGTGTATACTGGACTGACCTCAGAAGCCTGCTTAGAGAGCCCAATATGTCTTGGCAAATGAGATGTATATCTCAAGGTCTACGTCTTAATGTTATGATTTAGAGTATCTTGCGTTATGGGAGAATGCCTGAGGTTTTGTGAAAAACTGTTGATGGACAAAATTCTGCATGACCCAATATAGTATAGTACCATAAATCCCATAGTTTAGGTATATAAGGTCATGCAGGATTTTGTCAATCAACCGAATGAACCCTTCTCGCAACAACAGGTTTGGACCTGGCAACAGTTTCCGCAGCCGAACGAGGCTGCTGCTGTGGAAGAGGCCGGGCTTCGGGCTGGTTTCGAGTTGGGGTGTGTGATGGGATTAGGGTTTAGGGTTTAGGGTTCAGGGTTTAGGGTTTAGGGTTCGTCCTGCAGGCACGTCATTTGCACGAGTCTAAACCCCGAGTCCTCAACCCTAAACCCCTAAACCCTAGAAAACCTAAAGCCCTAACCCTGGAGGAACACAGCTTGCAGCAGCCAGAGCGCCGGCTGCAGCCCGTAAAGGAGGAGGCCAGAGCCAGCCAAAATTGGCAGTGGATTTCATTTGCACTCTGCAGCACGCAATCCTCAACCTTAAACCCCTAAAGCCCTAAACCCTAGAAAACCTAAAGCCCTAGACCCGAAGCCTTACAGCGTTTAGACTGGAGGAAGGCAGCTTGCGGCAGCCAGAGCGCCAGCTGCAGCCCGTAAAGGAGGAGGCCAGAGCCAGCCAACATTGGCATCGGATGGCAGGTTTGGAGTTTGGGCTTTGGAACGAGGTTTGATTTGCGCGGGTTGCATGTGACCTGATCGGTTCCCGGGCAGTATCATGGACACATGCCGGGACACATGCACCGTTTGTGTTTGGCAGCGCTTTCGCCCCAAACGGCTCTATCTGTTGAGTGCATCTCTTGTGGATGTTTTGAGAACTGTGAGGCTGGGATGAGCTCTTTGAAATCTTTCAGTTCCGTCTCCGGACGCCAAAGCCTCTTAGGCTTTGTGAAGCCAAAATCCTCGCCCTTCCTCCCCTACGACAACAGATGAGCTGGCATCGGGGACAGCAGCGCGAGACAGCTGATCAGGAGCAGGCCGGCCGTTTTGGCTGTTTTTCGAGCACTTGGGGTTTCGGGTTTAGAGTTTCGGGTTTGGGGTCTGTGCGCAGACTCGCGACGTATGCAAGGGGGCTGAGTTCTCGTAGTTCTTGCCATGCAAACTAAATCATAACAACCGAAACGCCTAAAGCCTGAAACCCTAAACCATATACCATAAAACCCCTAAGCCCTAAACCCCTAAACCCTAAGCCCTAAAGCAGCTGCAGCCTGAATATGTCAAGTATTAGGCACCAGGACTGCTGGGGAGACACAGGACTTTCTAGTCTTGCCCAGAGGTCAGTTTAGGGTCTAGGGTTTCGGGTTTAGATAGCTAGCACTGTAGCTTTTTTGGCAACTGGCGTTGTTTCCTAAAGCACATACCTGCAGACCTTTGGTCGATACGCCCTGAACGCGAAATCCCACTTCGGCGAAAATCGCAGCCCCTGCCGCCGAAATCCTCCAGCTGAAATCCTAATTACCTAACAGTGTCCAGTAAAGTCCCTGTTCTGGGTTGCTTGAAAAGACTCCGAAATATTTGCATGGTTAAACGCGAAAAATAAGGAATTACAGTGGAGACTAAAGGAGAGCCCCGCAAAACAGCAGGGCCGGGAGTGGCAGCGAGAGCAGCGCCCCCCGCGGCATGCGACGGAGGTGGCCGCTGCGGCTTTACGTGTTTTAGGCTTTAGGGTTTAGGACCCGAAGGAGAATTCTTCAAGAATCAGTTGATGGAGAGACACGGGCTCGTAAATTCGTGGTTTTCTGGAGCTTGGAACAGGGGCTCCAAGCCCTAAACCCTGAACCCGAAGCTGGTATTTACAGGGATTGAAGTTCTCCACAGGTGCCATGGCGGCCACCGCAGCAGGAGTTTGCTGCGCAGGAGCAGCAGGGTTTAGGATTTAGGGTTTAGGGTTCAGGGTATTAGGCTGGTTTTCAAATGCGTGGGGGTTGCGGGTTGAGGGTTCATAAGGGTTTAGGTCTTAGGGTTTAGGGTTGAGGGTTCGTTTGCTTTCGTCCTAAACCCCAAACCCTAAACCGTAAGCCCTACTAAGGGCTCAGGGTCGTCTGGCCCATGGTTTGGGTGAAGAATTTTAAGGTTTCGAGTCTTTGCTTCCGGGTTTGTTGGTTTGGGGAAACCCCCTAAAAACCCTAAAGCCCCAAACCCTAAAACCCTCAGACCCTAAAACCCGAAGACCCTAAACCCTAAAACCCTAAGACCCTAAAACCCTAAGACCCTATAACCCTAAACCCTAAAACCCTAAACCCTAAAACCCTAAACCCTAAAACCCTAAGACCCTAAACCCTAAGATCCTGAACCCTAAAACCCTAAGACTCTAAATCCCAAAATCCTAAGACCCTACAACCTTAAGACCCTAAGCCCTAAAACCCTAAGACCCTAAAACCTTCAAACCCTAAACCCTAAATCGGTGTTCTCGTGGGCTTTGTCTCTTGCAAAAGGTGCAAGATGCGGATCTCAAGCCTACCTGGCTTATGGGGTAGGGTGTAGGGTTCAGGGTTTAGGACCGGTGCGACCTGCTTGGAAGAAGCCCGCCTTTTATCCGCATGCAGCATCCTATCAAGACCGCAGAAACAGTGTTCGCGGCAGCTAGAGCAGCACCCGCAGCTGTCGCTTGTAAAGGAGGAAGCCAGCCATTGTTTCGGATCTTGCGACTCACCGTGAGACTTATAATATGTGGTCTCATGCGCTTGCATGCGAGTTGTGGCATATGAACCAGCACGATGCTACAGCACAAGACAGATTCGGAACAGATTTCCAGCGTGTGTTTGGGTATGGCGCTTGCCCGAATGCAGTGACACGCGCGTTTCATTCCACAAAGCCTTCCAATGCTGGCAAAGCCGCTTGTGTAGACTGGGAGGGACTCGTAAAATCTGTTTCGTTTCTTTTCACCCTAATTAGAACTCAAACCTGAAACCACCAAACCCCAACCCTAGACCCCCAAACCCCGAAGCCCTAAACCCTAAACCCTGGTGATTGCTCTGCAGGTGGTGCACCGACGGGTGAAATATGAATGTTCATGAGGTCGAACCTTTCTGACGGAACATGAAGTACAAGGATGACGAAGTGGTTGTTTCACACAGTCGCTCCATTGCACTTTAGATCCCAATCCCCAAACCCGAAACCCTAAACCCCAATCCCCAAACCCGAAACCCTAAACCCTAAACCCTAAACCCTAAACCCTAAACCCTAAACCCTAAACCCTAAACCCTATACAAGCTTCCTATAGCAACCCCAAGCCCCAAGATTTTCGTAGCTCACACGACAGCAGGTCTCAACTTGCAGGCCACCGCCGCAGCAGGAGCCTGCTGTTCAGGAACAGGCCGCAACTGGGGCTGGCTTTGGGAGAGGTAGACGGTAGAGTTTAGGGTGTAGAGTTTAGGGTTAGAGTTAGGGTTTAGAGTTCGGGGTTTAGGCGCCTGAATAGTTAGGGTTCGCCTGGCACACGAAACCGTAAACCCCTAAGCCCTAAATGAGGCGTTGTGTCGCAGGCACAAGAAGCATAATCGGGCGGGTGCTCGTGTAGCTACTCTGTGAGCACGACGTAACTCGAGAAATCTCGCTGCAAGTCTTGAGCAGCTGTAGCAAGTCTATGTGAACACCGATTCGGGTTTAAGGTTTAGGGTCTAGGGTATGTGTGACATGATGATCAGCAGAAAATCTACCGCAGCTGTACAGTCTGCGACGGCAGGTGCCGAACTTGTGGCAGCAAGAGCAGCGGCAGCCTGTCAAGGAGGAGGCCACCTTAATTAGTGCCTCGTGTTCAGAAGCTCGGGACGTAGGTTTCGGTCGCTCGGCGTGTGGACTTGCATGGGAACCTAGCTCCAGGAGAAAATGTGAGTCGGCTCACCGTTGGCCCTTCTCATGCTTGACTACTGAACCAGTGAGCAAGACGAAGTTGGCTTTAGGCTGCGCCTTCGTCCCGGGTGACCATAGCTGAGCTTGTAAAAGCACTTCACCCCATCAAGCCTTCCACAACCGGGATTTGAAGTCATTTTACATATGAGTATCTGAAACTCCTTGATCTCCAGCCCTCAGCAGGTGTCGAACTCACAGCACCAGCATCAGCACGATCCTGTCGCTGAGGAGCAGGCCAGTCATCTGGGCTGGTCTTCGAGTGCTTGTGTTTGGGATTTGTAATCTGACTTTGTTGCAAGCATGTAAAGTGTAAACGACTTGAGCGCACGTCTTGTCCCACCATTAGTGGGTGGAACTCGTAGGTTCAGGTTGCGATGTATGTCCCACACCATGCCTTTTACTGTTTACACATTTGAGTCACGAAGTTTTTTTTTTTGGACCAAGCGCCCGTTATTTGGGACCATATCTGATGCCAGGCCTGAGCCCCGCCCTCCCCCTACCCCCACCCCACGGTATCCCCCCCCTTTGTGGTGTGGTGCATGTGGTCCTGCTTGGGCTCCTGGTCTCTCGGCTTCTTTGTCTCCCCCCTTCGCTGTGGGGTGGTGCCTGTGGTGTTCGCCATTTGTTAGCGTAGGCAAGAACACCGGATGTCTCCAAGCTTGAGTCTGCGTGTTGGGTTGGTTCCAGCACGCCACCAAGCAGAAGCTGCAATCTTGCCGGACTCCCGTGCTGTGCATGTTGTAACTGCGGTGGATTGGCTGCTGGGCAGCCACATAACCTGCAGAGGTAGTTTTCTTGTCAGCCTTATTTTTGCTACACGAGAGATCTCGGGTTTTTCACATTTTCCGTTGCCGATGGTGCCTAGCCGGGGCACGAGACCATATACCACGGTTTGACCGTATGTACACAAGGAGGGTCCTGGTACAGTTCCACTGCCAGGTGGCTTCCGAATGGTTCGTCAGCCGAGAAACCTAAACCGACAGGCACGGAACTTGTGGCAGCGAGAGCAGCGCCCTCCGTGGTCAAAGGAGGAGGTGGCAGTGGGAATTTGGATTTGGGGCTGTTGCATCTGGGGCGGAGGTGTCGATTCCAAGGTGAACGGGTATTGGCTTTCCGTTCCGGGCGGCGTGTCCGGGGTTGGTGTCGCTGTGTCGTTCTGTTTTGCGGTATGAGGGTGCAAAGCAACTGCGTGCCGCGCACCAGTTGCGCACATGATCTTTAAACCCCAAGCAACCATGAACATCCCTGAACCTTAAACCCTGAACCCTAAAGACCTTGGACAACTTGCTTGCGAAACCCGGACCTCCAGCCACAGCTTAGGTCGGGGAACTTGAACTCGCAGGTGCGAGTTTTATTAAGTATATGATTAAGACCCCGCTTAGGGGTCGGAATACTTCAATATCCCGGATATCCCCTTATGGCTCTGATTGTTGAGGACCCTATAGTAAATTGATAGGTTCCTTGCTGTCAGGAGTCATCATCCGAAAAACAGGCTTTGAACCCTACGCACGAAACCCTGCACCCCTTAGGCTACAGAATCGCCAGGTGAGGAGCCTGCCACCCCAGCAGCACGAGCCGTCTGCCGAGGAACAGGCTGGCCTTCGAGATTTAGGGCCTAAACCCTAAACCCTAAACCCTAAACCCTAAACCCTAAACCCTAAACCCTAAACCCTAAACCCTAAACCCTAAACCCGTTCAGTGTAGTTTAACTTCGACTTCAGGGTCTACTGCACCGATAAAGAGCCAAATCGCAAAAAAGGGTGTTGCTTTAGGGTTTCAGGGGTTTAGGGTTTCAGCATTTAGGGTTTAGGACTTGGGGCTTTGGGGTGTTAGGGTTTCACATCTTCAGGGCAGTAGGGGCTCAGGGTGCTAGTGCTTTAGGGGGCTTTTTTGGTGGTTTTTGGTTTTTTTCAGCCCATTAGTGTTTCAGCATTTAGGTCTGCAGGACTTAGGGCATAGGTTTTTTTGTTTTCGGGTTGAGGTTGTAGGGCTTGGTGTTGAAGGTTGTAAAGTATCAAATCTATTGCTAAACATGCGTCCCGTCCGGCAGCCTTGCAAGTGTGATGACAGCACTTACGGGGTCGAAGTGCATCGCCAGAGAGCCGTGATTGCATTTTGGGGGCCGCTGTTCGCGAAGTTCGTTAACCTGCTCGTACTCGAGGTCTGTCGACGCCTTGAGGCTTGTACTTTGCAGCTGAATGTTGGTCGCATTACATCAGCTTTCGTAACAGTAGTGTAACCGTGATGGATGCGGTAGTAGTCAGACGAAGCCTCGTGTCAAGAGTGGGTAGGTGAGAAATTCACTTTCGTGTCCTGCTGCGACGGCACGTCGCGAATTTTGCCTAAACTTAAACCCTACCTAAACATACACTTTGCACATGCCCGGAGCTGTTCTGAATTCTCCAGACAGCCTGGAAAGGGTTTCTTTCTCTTGTGTGGCACAACGGGCCCTTAGGAAGCCCAAACCCTAAGCTTCGTCATAGTTGGGTAAAATTTTACATTTTCATGGCTACTTTACAACCTTACCTGTTTAATACTATGCCAACCATGAACTAGTAAACCCTATAAGCCCAAAACCTATAAACCCAAAGTGCTTGAGCCATAAACCCCTCTCGGGGAAGGCAAGGAACTCGCAGCAGCAACGGCAGCCGGAACCGGCTCCTGTGGGTCAGGCCCGTCGTCGGCTAGGGTTATGGTGAGTGACGGAGTGCAGAGGGCTTGAGATGTGGCGCCCTAAACCCTAAACCCTAAACCCATCTGGTGCTTTGCAAGTGATTGAAGCATAGAAGATCAAGAGTCCAGTGTTGGGGAAAGTGTACAGGTCGTCTCTAGAATGGATGCACAGTCCGCTTTCCTTCCGATCTTCCCTGTGGTCGGTCGGCATAAGGCCAGTTTTCAGTCCCACGGTTTGGGGTTCAGGGCTTATAAACCCTAAACCCTAAACCCGACACCTTTCAGAGAATGCAGCTTGCATCATGAAGCGTGACTTCAATGTGTCTGTGAAGCCCTTCCTTCGCCTCCCAACGCCAGGCACATCCCTGGCACTCTCCTCAGCAGCATGAACAGGCCTGGTCTTAAGCCTGGGAAGAAAGCACTGCCGCATGTCCTCATGTAGCACTTAGCTGATCTGTAGGCGTAAGCTGTCTCAAGCACTCGGTTTCCATGGTCTTTTGGGTCGCAGTGCCATCTCACAAAGTGCCCTCATAGTCGCCTGCCACAGTCCAATTCGCGTCCGACTGGTTAGCCGTAGCTCAGAGCCCGGAATCCTCTTTGCCCAGGTTTGGGGTTTGGGATCTCGGCTTCAGGGTTTATGGTTCAGGGTTTAGGGTTTGAGGTTTAGGGTAGGGTTTAAAGTTTGGGGTTTGAGGTTCAGGGTTCCCAATGTTTAAACCCTCAACCCTAAACCCCTAAACTCTAACCCTGAACCCTAAACCCCAAACTCAAAACCCTACCTCCAGACCCCAAGCCCTATACCCATACACTGAACCCGAGCCCATAACTGGCCGATCCAGTGGCTGAATTGAGTCAACAATGCCTCAGCAGTGTGGGAAGATTTTTAAGGCTTTGGTACTGAGGTTTCTGAGGCCGTAAACCCCAACAACCCCACACCGTCATCATCCTGAATATTTCCGTAGCTGGTCAACTTGTTTGTTTGGAGTTCAGGTTTTGGTTCTACTGATCCCCTCATGGCACCTGCAACCTTTGGCCCCAAATTTATGTTCGCAGGTATTGCCGCCGTCGCTGCACCCGCAGCAGTTGCAGCAACAGATGCAGCAGCAGCAGCTGCAACAACAGTTGCATCAGCAGCTGTTTCAGCATCCAGAGCTGCAGCAGCAGCTGGTGCAGCAGTATTACATGCAGGAGCATCAGCAGAAGGCCCGGCAGAACGTTCGAACGCCGCCTGGTCTTTGTCCGTGGGGCGGGATTCGAGCAGCGCTATAAGATTCGGAGTCGTTAGTAGCAGTATCCCCTCGTAGACCCTTATTCTCAGAGAGCGGCCTGCCATGGGGCCTGGGATTTTTCTGAGTATTGTGTTTCTTGGTGTCATGTAGAATTATGCGATGCGCGCATGCATTTATGCATGCTACTGCTCACGAAGGCGTAGCATTATGTATCATGCTGTGTATGTACCTGCGTATACACGTAAATGCACAGGCATGTACATTCTTACAATTACACAGTTACACATGCAGGCAAGCAATGAATGCACAAACCCATACATGTTTGCTGTGTGTTTGCATTTCCGTGGTATGCTCTACTACCACAATACAATAACCCACTTCCAAGCAAAATGATGTTAAGTAGTTGCCTCATTGTCTCGGTGAAGGTCTGTGTGCCTTCCGTATTCTTGTAGGGTCCAAACACCCATGTACACACAGCTTCCAATGGGCATAAGGCGTTTGCACATTCTCATATTCCCAGACCTACGAGACTGCGGAGTGCATTATGAGCCCTAAACCCTAAATCCTAGACCCTAGTCCCTTACAAACACCCCAAACCGTAAGCGACCTTAAACCGTGCATTGAGATTCCGTTTCTCTCTCGGGAGTTTGGACTTTGGATTCGCTAAGCCCTAAAGCATATAGATACTTCTCCAAACTGGGGTCCTGCTTAAGTCCGCCAAATGGTACGGCACCCTTGTAAAAGGACCCGAAAAGGGACCCTAATTTCGAGAACTACCCATATGGCTGCTGGTTATACAGATAATATAGGGGGCTGAATAGTTAGATTAGCGTTTGGGATACATTAAACCAGAATCATAATGAGGAGCGCCAGAATAGTCTTGGTTAGCGTAAGGGTGCCAGGACCCCAGCCCTAGTCTGTCTCTCCGCGTTGATTGGTGTCGGCTTCAACGGTTCCTAGACCCTAAACCCTAAAATCTTAAA